GCCCGCCCACAACCCCTTCGCCTCCATTCTCCTCTCGGGATCTTGGGCACGCACGCACACGCGCCCGGCGTGAGTTTAAGCCACCGGGTCCGGGACTCAAACCGCGGTCGACTCCGTGGGAGTCCAGCGACATAGCCATTACGCTAACTGCTGGTCCCAATTTGTCTCCTATTTCTGAGGTGCTTTTATTCAGTTCTGAGTTTTTCGGTAGGAACTAGCTTTCTGTTTTTGGTTTTCAAATCGTAGAACCAAAATTCATATTGAAGCCTGATCCCGTTACAATGGTATTGAAAAGTGAAGACTTTGGGGAATTATGTCATGAGGGCTCCCAATTTATGAACTGGGGTTGTCCCCTTATAACAGGTTGAAGGAAGCTTCTGGCCGGGCCCCTGGCACTGTGTCAGGACACAGCAAGAAGGTATCCACCATCCCTAAGGCAGAGAGCAAGCCTTCGTCAGAAACCGAATTTGCTGGGGCACAATCTTGGACTCCCCAGCCTCCACACTGCGAGAAATAAATTTCTATTATTTCTAATTACCTCCTCTAAAGTATTTTGTTACAGCAAACTAAGACAGAAATTGGGGCCGAGGAGTGGGCTTTGCTCTAACAACCTGAAATGTATAGGTGACTTTGGAACTGAGTAATGGGTAGAGGCCGAAAGGTTTGGAGGAGCTGGCTCGGAAAAGCCTGTGTTGCCGTGAAGAGACCCGAAGGGGCAGTTCTGGCGGGGGCCTGTAGAGAGTCAGTGCTCAGACATTGCCCGGGTGGTGACGGTCGGCGTGCTGGTAGAAACCTGAACGGTAGGAGCCATCCCGATGGCCCCTCGGACGTCCACGAGAGCTCTGCTGGGAGCCAGAGGGAGAGCCTCTTGTCACACAGAGGGAAGAAGCTGACTCGTCGCTGTGGTGTTGTGCGAAGGAAAGCTTTTCTGAGCAATGACATCGAACATGTCCTCTACGCCGGGCTGAGAGTGTAGCATCACTTGTCTTAGCTACTTGTACTAAAATGTAAGAAGAGAGAGAAAAATGAACGCTGGAATTTATCATCCAAAGGGGAACAGAACTTAAAAGATTTGGAAAATTCTCAACTTAGTCATTCTGTAAAGAATGAAAAGGGAGTTCAGGGAGAACAGCAGGGGCGCGGCCGAGCCACTTTTGGTAAGATGAGTCTGGGCAGGTGGGAACTGGCGCTGTTCATGGAGTCGGTGGGAGAACGAAGTGGAAGGCATTTCCGGGTCACTAGCGCTGCCCCTCCCAGCTCGGGTCCCAGCGCCAAGGCCCGGGAGACAACTATTCAAAAGAGGGGCACCCGGGCGGCTGCTGCCAGACAGGGCCTTCAGTCTGCTCCTGAATCCCACAGGGCGCTTCTCGGCCATTCAGGTAGGCCTAGTGGGCCCCCTGCAGAGCAGGACCTGGGGTGCCCTCCAGCGGGGACGGGCGGTAAATTGTTAGTATCAGTGTGGCGCCATCTCCAACATGGTGCGGAGTGCACTAGCTGTGGCTTCCACCTAGATTTCAAAGGATGCCCTGGACATCCCCAGGGCCCAAGCAGTGAACTGCCGCTGGGACACCGCCGCCGCAGGTGGTCCCCGCTAGCGCAGCGCCTGTGAAACCCTGGACATGGGGCAGCCCCCATCCCAGCCCAGTAGAGCCATTGGCAAGCAACTCTGGCCTGGGAGTGCCATGGTCATATAAGACTTGAACCCGTGAGTCCTGCAGGGGGACCTACACCCGCAAAACCACAGCAGCAGGCCTCCTAGAGCCTCGGGGTCCGGGCTCTGTCCCAGTGTGCCCAGAAGGTGGGGTGAGGAGCCAAAGCAGCTTATCCTCGAGTCTTAGATTTAATGTTTGGGGAGCAGCAGATGGTGTAATGGCTATGTCGCTGAACTCCCATGTAGTCGACCACAGTTCAAGTCCCAGACCTGGTGGCTTAAACTCACGCAGGGTGCGTGTGCATGCGTGCCCAAGATCCTGAGAGGAAAATGGAGGAGAAGGGATTGCGGCGTGACCATCCCCTCTGGGGGGTGATTTCTTGCTTTCTGTCTCTCTGTCTCTCTCTGTCTTTAAAAAAAAAAAAAAAAAAAAGACTTCATGTTTGTCCTGTTGAGTTTTGGACTTGGTTGGGACCTCTTGTTATTATCCCTTTCTTCTTGCTTCTTCCCCGTCCTGGGAATGTCCATCCTGTGCGTGTCCGGTCGCACTTAGGAAGCGTGTAACTCATTTGATTTCCCAGGCTCACAGCTGGGGGGGATTTGCCTCAGCAAGAATCTCTCCTTTGAGTCTCATTCATGTCTGGTTACTTGAGACTGTGGGCTCTAGACCTTTGAGTTGGTGTGGAAGGAGCTAAGACTTACGGGGTTATTGGAATGGAATGAGTGAATGTACTTCGCATGTGAGGCACGCGGGGTGGTTTTGAGGCAGAATGCATCTCAAAATGTCTCTCCAGAATTCATGGCGAGTCCGCTGGGGAGGTAGTAAGAGGGACAGCCTCTTGGGATGTGACCAAGTCCCTAGGACTTTGCCCTCATGCCCTTAGTACCCTTATAAAGAGAGATTGAAGGGAACTCCCAGCTGCCCCGCCTTCCACCTTCCGCCTTCGGCAGCAGGAAGGAACCATCTTGTCTCGGAAGCAGAGACCAAGTCCTTACCAGACACCGACTCTGCCCGAAGCTCGACCTTGGACTTCCCAGCTCTAGAGCAGCGAACAGCAAACTCCTGCTGCGAAGTGCCCAGTCTAAGGTGCTTGGCTGCAGAAACTCGAATGAGCTCAGGACACCCGGCCGGAGGAGGAGTTCTTTTCTTCTGTTCTCAGCATTGACCTCTCACCCTTATCCCTTCTGCATAATTTTTAAAAATAATTTTGTTTAGGTACAGAATTCTCAAATAAAATCTCACTCATCTGTGTTTTTTGGTTGTTGTTTTGGTTTGGTTTTTGCTTTTGGGGCTTACACTCAGTGTGGGTGGGGATGGGAGTAAGTGAGAAATCACCCCCTCCAGAGGAGGTGGCCACACTGCAGTCCTCTCTCCTCTGTCCGCGTTTCAAGATTCTGGGCGCCCTTGTGCACACACATGCGTGCTTTCCCATTCAAGTCACTGTTTTCCCACTCCCAAGTCACTAGGTCTGAGACTTGAGCCATGCAATCAGCCATGCGGGATCCAGCCACCTTAACCACCAGGCCACCAAAGGAGGCCTGGAGCAAGAGGGACTACAGTGTGGTCCGACATCTCCTTTTGACAGTCTCTCTTCTCTCCTTTCTCTTTGAACTTCATGTGTGTTTTTTTTTTTTCCTTTTTTTTTATTGGAGAGGGTTTTTTGTTTGTTTGTTTGTTTGTTTGTTTTTTCCTATAGGACATGTGCGCTCACCAGAAAGACAGAGAGAAACAGAGAGACAGAAAGTGAGAAATCACCCCCCGGGGGTGATGGCCACACTGCAATCCCTTCTCCATTCTCCTCTCTGGATCTTGGGCACACACGCACGTGCACCTGGGATGAGTTTAAGCCACCAGGTCCAGGACTTGAACTGCGATTGACTACATGGGAGTCCAGCGACATAGCCATTATGCTAACTGCTGGTCCCAAACTTCATGTGTTTCTTGGAAGCCAAATCTTTTTTTTTTTTTTTGAAGAATTATTTAATTTTATCTATTCATTCATTTATTTTTTAATTTAAACAGAAACAGAGAGAGAGAGAGAGAGAGTCAGAAAGCAAGCCACCTGGTCTGGGGCTCGAAGCATGGTCAGCCATGTGGGAATGTCCAGTGCCTTAACCACACCACCTGCTAGTCCCCTGGAAGCCAAGTCTTAATGGTAGATAATTTCAGAAGGCCCCATGAAAAGTTTTTGTTTCCTGTGGTTTCTGTAACTAGTTTATAAACAATAAACTAGTTTAGCAGTAATAACTGTATTAGTTTGGAATACTTACCCTTTTCTTATAGGTTATATAGGTTATCTTATAGATTATCATATATATCTTATAAGATAAAATGATCTAATGGCTATCTTATTTCAGAAGGTTAAAAATTACGTGCTCTGGAGTCAGCAGTTGGCGTAATGGCTATGTCGCTGGACTCTCCCGTAGTCGACTGCGGTTCAAGTCTCAGACCCAGTGGCTTAAAACTCATGCCCGACGCATGTACATGAGTGCCCAAAATCTCAAGAGGAGACTGGAGGAGAAGGGATTGTGGCATGGTCAGCCCCCTCAGGGGGATGATTTCTCGCTTTCTGTCTCTCTGTCTGTCTCTGTCTCTGGCGAGCGCATACACCCTATAGTATAAATCTCTCTTTAAAAAAAGTTGCATGCTCTGTGGAAAGGCAGCATTGTGTCGTAGTGCGGCCCTTTAATATTTATAATCACGGCATCCTCTTCCCTTCAGAGTACACGTGCTCTTCGGCTTTTCTAACGGTAGATGGCAGTAGTATCTAGAACATGTTGACTGAAGGCAGAGAACCTTGAGAAGGACAATTAGTGGTTATCTGATTTTTGCAGGCAAGCTAATCTTTTGTCAGAGAAACCACGTGATTATGCTAAAAGTAAGGCTGTCTGGATTTTTCTTGTGGGGGAAAGGAATAGGAAATTTCAAACTCACTTTTTAAAACCAACAGTACTAGAGGTGTGTTTTTACTTCTCATTTTAATTTGGGATTTCTACAGTGAGGTTCAGGATTACAACGCACGTCTGGCTCATGACGCATAGAAACTCTTAGGTCGTTGGGGAAGTCATGACGTGTGTTCCTACGTTTCTATGCACAAATGCCTTCCCGAGACCCAGTCGTTTCCTTCTGTTCAGTGACTGATCAAATCTTACTGACTTGTCTTTCATTTTATTTCTTAAGGCTCACTGTCATTATCCTGATCGGGGAACTTACTGTATCGTACCTGTGCTTTGAACCTGTCTTTCCAGCTTAATTCTATCATTCCTCCCATCCTTCTTCATTTGGGAAGACTTTTTTTTTTTTTTTTTTTTTTTCTGTTGCCAGAGCATGTGTTTATCTGCCCAAGGCGGGAGGGGTGCACACCGCAGTTCCTTCTCCATTTCCCTATCCTGATGGGTTTTGAACATGTGAACACATGTGCTCGGCATGGTTTCCAAGCTACCAGGGCCAACGTTTGAACAGCAGTCGGCCATGTGGGATCCAACTGCCTTAACCACTTCTATGGGGCCAGCCCAGGAAGACGCGTTAACTAAACATCTATTGGGGCTGGCAGGTAACGTGGGGGTTGAAGTGCTGGACTCCCACATGGCCGACCACAGTTTGAGTCCTGGACCTGGCAGCTTGCTTTCTCGTTTTTCACCCCCCCCCATCTCTCTCTGGTTAAATTAAATATAATGATAATAAATTAAATAGTTCATTTTATACACACACACACACACACACACACACGCACGCACAGTGTACCAGCCCTGTGTTAAAGGGACAGAGTGCCATCAATCACTCTGCCACTGTAGGAGCGAGTACTCTAGAACGCAGCAGTTCATCTTTAGAGTTGTGCTCAGTCATAACCAGCTTTGAACTGGCCCCATGGGACAGCGATTAAGCTCTGTGGAGGGAGCCGGAGCCAATATGACTGACTATAGTTTGAATCCTGGCTCTGGAGGCTTGAGAAGCACTTTGGGCACGTGTGCCCAGGGTCCTGGTGGGAAGGAGAAAAGGAGGAAGAGGGGATAGCTGTATGTCCAGGCCCCATTGGGGGACAGGGTGCTCGCTCGCTCCCTCTTTCTTGCAAGTGCACATGCTCTCTGGCATTAAAAAATAAAAAGAAACAGGGCCAGCAGGTGGCATGGTGGTTAAGGCTCTGCATTCTCACATGGTTGACTGTAATTTGAGTCCCAAGTCGGGCTGCTTGAAAATTACAACAAATCAATATATAAATAGGGACCAGCAGATGGCATAATAGTTAGGTCGCTGGGACCCCACATGGTTGACTGCAGTTCAGGTTCCGGACCCAGCAGCTTCAGATCCACACCAGGCACGTGTACGTGCGTGTCCAAAGTCCTGAGAGAAGAACGGAGAAGGGATTGCGGCATGGCCATATGTCCTGTGCCTCTCCCTTGTTTTTCCTACAAAGCCCTTTAAATCAGGTAGAATCGAGCGTGTGGGCTGCTAAAAACAGACACGGAAAACACCTTCTTGGCAGTGGTACTTTACGAGCAGTGCCGTCTGTCTCGAGGGCAGGTTGGAGTGGTTGGAGCAGCTCTGGGGACTCTCGTTCTCGGAGCAGAGTTAGACACATGTGCAGTTTTCCTTAAGCTTTAGGGACCCAGCCTGGAAGAGAATACTGAATGTGTGATAGAGTGATGGTGAGAATTCTGCCCATTTCTGTGTTTTCTATTGATTTTTTCTTTTCTTTTGGGAGAGGTTTTTGCTATAGGGCATGTGTGCTCACCAGAGAGACAGAAAGCGAGAAATCACCCCTCTCAGGGGATGGCCACACTGTAATCCCTTCTCCATTCTCCTCTCGGGATCTTGGGCACTCACGCACATGTGCCCGGCATGAGTTTAAGCCACTGGGTCCGGGACTTGAACTGCGGTTGGCTACATGGGAGTCCAACGACATAGCCATTATGCTAACTGCTGGTCCCCCCTCTTGACACATTTTTAAAAAGAGAAAGAAAACAAGAAAATAGAAAGTAAGGCCAAAATCATTGTACAGAAATGTTTTATCGCATTTTTTATTATACTGAAAATATGTACTTAATAATAAGGAATAATAAATCCACATGGTATAATGTTTTAGTCTTTAAAGAACTTTAAAGTTTTTTAATTTCCAGAGGGTGCATGCATTTAACCAGAGAGAGGCAGAGAGAGGGGGAGCAAGCACCCTCCAGTGGGGCATGGCCATCCACATCCCTCTTCCCCATTTCTCCATCCTTTCGAGATTCGGGGCGTGCACGCAGAGGCACCCAACATGGTTTTCAAGCTGCCAGAGCTGGGATTTGAACCATTGTTGGCTATGCGGGATCTCTAGTCTATGAGGCCGATCTCAAAAGTATGTTTAATACATGAAGAAATGCTTTTGCTCCTTCCATCCCACCCTCCCCCCAAAAAAAGGCAAGATAAAATTGCATCTAATCATAATCCAGATTCCACAATGTCTGCATATGTAACAGATGTGGAGATCTGATTTGCTGTTCCCCTAGTGCTAGTAAGTCAAGCCCTGCTGCAGTTCGTTTCCTTAATTCCAAGAAAAGCTTTTTATTTTTCTGATTTTAGAAACATTATCAGTTGTGGGTCTGGCAGGTGGTGTGGTGGTTAGGGGCGCTGGGCTCCCACATGGCCGACTGCGGTTTGGGTCCCAGACCTGGTGGCTTGCTTTCTCTTTCTCTCTCTCTCTCTCTCTCTACCTCTCTGTCTCTCTCTGGTCAAATGAAAATAAATGGATGAATAAGTAAAATTAAATAAAGACTTCTTTAAGGAAAAACATGATCAGTTGCTAACTTAATTCTTGATCAAATTGCTGTTCGCTGGCTGAAACCTGCATCACGACCTCGTGTCAGTACTCGGGACATATGTCCTTGAAGATCCTTGGACGTAAGGAAATCAGTATTGCTCGCCTGCCAGGTGACTGGCGTGACGTGCTTTTAGGGAGCGAGGTTTCCAAGGTAGTAGTTAACAGCATTTCTTTCTACCTGTAGGTTTTCCGTAATTATTAAGAGTATTATGTTCTTTGTTCCTAACTTCCCAGATTATAAGCACACCGCAGAGACTAACCAGTTCAGGAAGCGTTCTGATCGGGAGTCCGTACACCCCTGCCCCAGCAATGGTCACTCAGACGCACATCGCAGAGGCCACGGGCTGGGTCCCCGGGTAAGAGTATTCCCAGCTACTACTTTCAAAAGCTTTCAAAAAAGAAGCTCTGGCTTGACTTTTTTCTTGCTTGCCTGTCTTCTGTTATTGCTTTGTCCTAGTCAAGTTCCTGAAGACGAATGTTTTTTTCTTTAACGTCACCTATTTTATTTCGCCGCATCTTAGAAATGACTCACCGCCAGAGCCCCCGTTGTGTTTTGTTGCGGATTTTACTGTAGAGCACGTGCACCCGTGTACATAGAGGCGGAAGAGTTCTGCACATTCGCATACTTTTCCATTATCAAGTGACTTGAAATGACAGAATCGCTCTAACCCGTGGTCTTTAGTCAATCCTTAGGAAAATTTTTGTATCGCTCTAAAAGTTACTTCAGATTTCTGCATAGCTGCAAAAGATTCGGATGTGAAAGCCAAGCCTGGACAGGCAGTGTTGGCCCGTGTGGGAGATGACCCAGTTTGGACATTTTTAGCCCCAATTCTGCTCTGTATGAGGGGTGACAAGACTGTTTTTACCGTCAGTCGTTCCAGATTGAGTAACACTCTCCCCTTTCTGCCCTCTTGTAAATCCGCGATTTCCCTCCCTCAATATTCATGGAGCTTATTTCGGCCTGTGATTATTGTGTTGTACTGTCTTGGTGCCGTGATAAAATTAAGCTTTTATTTTCTGTACCTGTCTTTCATATTTGTTAGTTTTTGTCTTTGCATGTTTTCTGGGTAGAATTGAACAAGGTGTGATAAATTGCTCACAGACAGTCATTTCTGTATGTGTTTTTATGCTATCTTTGTTTTTCTTTTTAGTGATAGAAAACGGGCTAGAGAATTCATAGACTCTGATTTTTCAGAAAGGTGAGTGTACGTGGGAGTGTGTATCTGGGGAGATCCCGCAATGTGGGGGGGGTTGGTTCCCAGACTCCACTCTAGTTCAGTTACTGAGGTGCTTTTCCTGAGCTAACTAACTTCATTCCATTTTACCAACATTCCATTCCACACTGAGTGTTCCCATTCACGCAAAAAACTTGAGTGGGAATGATCCTATGAGCCAATTGGCTATTGGTAATAAGCCATTGTCACCCTCCCTCCTTTTGGGAGATGAAGTTCTACCACAGTGAGCACTCCACATTATGTTAACATTATGTTAAACAAGCTTTTAAACAAGCTTTATCCAAAACAATATTATTGTTGCAAACAGTAATAGATCCCAGTAAACCCTCCCTTTTTTTTTTTTTTTCTTTGAGAGGTTTTC